ATCACACCTTACCATGTAATCCCCTAGCACACTCAACTACCCAATTTTGGCTCTATTTTTTTCTATGCATGGCCGGCCAAAGTGGAGAAGGAGAGAGAGAAAAATAAATCCTACCCCTTGTACTTTAGTCCACTCTCTTAAGTTACCTTTGAATCAGGTAAAAATCATACTGACTGTAAAGGGTACTTAGCTGACAGGAAATTCTTGTTTCTGACAGTTCTCTTTTTTTTTTCTACTACTTATTTACAGTTCAACTTTTAAATCCTCATCTGCTTTGATATCACGTTAAATTCTTACTCGCGTAATATCTTAAACTGTTTCAAGTCTTGAAATTAATTCTAGACTGAATAAATTCTAAATTTAACTTTTCTGCATTATATCCCGGGAATGACATTATTTCTGACGGTGTCAACTCCTTAGCTCACATTGTACCCTTCTACTATAGGTATCTATCTTGTGACTTTAACCTAGCTGTCTGGCAATTAAGGATTTTCTCTTCTTTAAAAATGTCAGTGCGTTTTTTTTACGCTGCTAACATCATGCTGTGTTTGGAGATTCTTGAAATTAAGATTCTCAAACTATACTTGTACTGAAAATTATTCCGCCTTAAAGTATGACAAGAATTTATCGATCGAATTTACTTGATCGAAAACATGAACTTAACATGAAATCTGCTACAGAATTTAGGAATACATATATTGATTCTATAAATCCTTCAGTCACATAATATTTTCTAGGAAAATCCTTGGCTTAAATAAATAAATTGTATTATTTAAAGTCTTGAATTTTCTCAGTCATTACAATATTTTCAGGTCAGGTCGGGCAGATTAGTCGGGTTCGGGCTCAATTTTTACACCTCTACTCTGGGCGGTGAAGGAAGGTGACGATATGAGGGAGAACCAATTTGGGCAGCAGAGGACAATGACGATCTAGGCATGGAGGTCGGATCTAGCCCATAGTTTCTCATGTCATCTCAGAATTTCCCAGACCAAGACCTTGTGGCTGAGCAACATATCCAGCAAATGCCATCCCAACAGCAGGAACCCCGATACCACTAGGATGCTGACCTCCAAATTGCATGACTGCCCAACAAGCAACCGAATAGAAAGCAACTTAGCTCAAAAATAATTTGGACAATAAGAACTCGTATATCACATAATACGTATACAAAGTACAGACAATTGAGTTCACATATTTGTTTTCAATATCTCAAACATGAGTGCATAATTCCAAAGAATCTAAAGAAAAATAAAGGGCCCTCGAAACATTACATGGAGAGAGAGAGAGAGCTTGCTTTGCTTTTTTACTAAAATACTCTCTTTAACAAGATCACATGTCTTGTACATGATTAATTATGTTAAAAATTTAACAAAATTTGACGGAAAAGATGATATTACACCTTTTTAAATATGTTGGGGGTGTTTTGTCAAACAAAAGGTTAGAGATTAAACTGTCACATTTTAAAAGATTGAGAACTATTTGTATAAATTATCCTTATAAAAATAATTAGGGATAATTTAAAAATAATAAGAGTGTATGAAAAATAAATATAATCATTTAAAAAATATGTGGGGTGTATAATAGTTACAAATTAGAAGGGAGTGAAGAGATTAAAAAAGAGTGATGAGTAGAACAGCCTTGTAAATTTTATAAGTTGACTGAAATGGGTGTTGATGTAATTTGGTTCGGTTAAGGGGATATTTCTGTTATTTTGATAAAAGATTGAGCATGTAAGTCCAAAAATCCTTTTCGTAAGGGAAATCCCTGCAAATTTTCAAACACAAGGGAAAAAGTGTAATTAACACGATTTTATAAAACAGATTCGCGTCTGCAAAACGCTACCTTGTTGGTGAACCAAACATTTTCTTTCCAAGCCTTCGTTGAGCTCTGAGGGGAAGCAGGTCGAATTTTCTGACTCTTTTCAATGGTAATTCTCGTTCTGCTTTTTTTTTTTTCATTATTTTTCATGCCTTTGAGTTTTCTCTCCTTTTTGTCCACAATTTTCTCAGTAACCAAACGCAACGTTAGGGTTCTTCGGCCTTGTGTAGCAGCACGTTTCAGTGGCGAGATTTTCTTTAGTTGTGTTTGTACGTTCATAAATTTTGTTATTTTCTTTAATTCAGATGGAATTGAATCTTTTGTTTACCTTCTCTTGCTTTGATTTTACACATTTTTCAACTTTCTTGTCTGATTCTTATTCTCATTTTTCGTCAAGTTTTATCTTTTAAAGCTCATGAGGGATTTAGTTAATAAAACGATAAATTTTATCGGCTTTTGCGCCATGGATTTTACAGATAGAAGGGTTTTATTTTTATTTTTATTTTTACTTTTTATTTTTTTGGCTGTGATATAACTTAGGGGCTTGATGGAAGTCAAGTAGATGATTCTCATTTTAGAAAATTCTGAGTTCATCTGCAGAATGCTATCCAATTTGAATTTAGGATGAAGTTTTCAAGGACATTAGTGGTTGGCAAATAAGTGGACTAAACATGTTAAGAGTTTTTATACTAACTTTAGGCATGCCTAAAAGATTTTCTTCTGTTTTCTGATTGGTAATGTAAATGGTACAAATACTACGAACGATTAGCACATTGATCATATTTGGGTTTATATAGAAGACGAGGACCAAAAATCGTATACATTTGATAATTTGTCGATTTTCTGCCAAAAATCATATAAGATTATAGATGGAATTTATGGTTTTCTTCATATGATTTTTGAACTTCAGAAAAGCTATCCGAAGGTTCTAGGTTATCCGAAGGTTTTAGTTACGAGTTTGGATGTGAAAGAGCAGATATGGATGCTTGGACTCTATCTTTGATGCTTGTTATACGTTTGAAGGACCCTATATTGCTATAATGAGAAAGTCAGCAGGGGAATCAAATGCATAAGGAAATGCAATATGAATATGCAATTTCCTCGGAGGGATTTGCAAAATATTTGATCAATTATCTAGCAGTCAAAAATGGTGAGGAGTGCCTCGTGATATTCTTCTCTTATTGGTGGTCAGTGTAACGTCTACAATTTGGATATGGAATCTTATAACACGAGTGTAGGGTGGATTTGAATAGAAAGCTAGTTGCTTAAACATATTGAAGATTTTTGTGAACTTTTCTTTTCCTTAGAGCACTCTTATTCATTCCATGGGGTTAAAATCCCGCTACTCACATGAGGTGGGTCCCGCTAGGTGGGCAGGTGGGACCCACCATTTTGTGAGTGACATGGAGATGACAATCATTTTTGTTTTTCTGAGGTGTGTAGGTAGGACCAAACCTAGAGGGACCCAACCTTGAGGGATCCACCATTTTGTGAGTGATGGGGTGGGATGAAAACCATTTTTGTTTTTCTTAAGAATATCGAAAAACTTCCCTTCTTTCTCTCTCATAGTATATCATTCTAAGGCAAACACCCATAGTTTTTTTGTTACATCGATTTTATGCTACAACTGTAGTGTGTACATAATCAGATAAATTTCTTGTTCTTTCCATTGTTGCTAATCGATAGGACTCTGAAGTTCATTTATTTTGCATTAGTTGTTTTTTAGATCTTTTTTAATAACAACTATTCTGTTGGGTTCTAGATTTAGTCTGCATATGCAAATACAATAACTACCGTTTGTTCTTTGTTTTAGGCTGATCCTGAATTAGAAGCAATCCGACAAAGAAGAATGCAAGAGCTTATGGCTCAGCATGGCGTGGTAAGGAACTAGCTCGTCTATACCTGAAATAAGGTTCTGTGGTTTATGTGAATAATTTACTTAAAGCAATTGAATGGCATTATTTGTTCTATCATGCTGATATCACTATTGAACTATTCCATTGAACAGGGAAATCAACAAAATTCTGAACAGCAGAAAGCGCAGGACGATGCAAAACGGTTGGTGTCGGTTATTTAGTGTAGTTGTTCCGTTGTGTTTTGTTCATGTATTCTTATTGATCCGTATGTTGAATGTGACTAGAGAGGCAGAGGAGCGAAGACAGATGATGCTTAGTCAAATTTTGTCAGCTGAAGCACGTGAAAGACGTAAGTTCATATCTAAATAAAGCCTTTATTGGTACACTATGTTAAAGTAAACTGAGCTTTTTACTAAAGAATTTAAATTCTGAGGAGTAAAGGGTTTCTAACTTCTGCATGTCTAAAGTGATGAACTGTTAGATGATTGGTTTCATATTCTATACCTGTCTTCTCACTTGTATCTATGGCAGCTGAACTATGTAATTTCATTATCACTAAGATTCATATGCCTGGGCACTCACATGCCAGGGCACTCACATGCCAGAGCACTGTACGTGCTAAATTAGTCTTTAGGAACATAAAAACATTTAGGAACTTTAGAGGTTTCCCTCCCTCCCTTGTATGGTACGGTCAGTCCTTTTCTTGTTTATTTCTTATGTGTTTATTTTGTTTGGTCGCAGAAAGCTGTCTAAGTACTACTGTTGCGACTTAAAAAATGTATTATACCATTATGACATGATTAACTTTCTCAGGGTGTTAACCCTTGAAAACAAATCTCAGGGTGATAAATTTGTCTCAACTGGAAAATAGGTGGCCATTTTTGTTCAACCTGCCATTGAATGAGGTGGTTATGTAATGTTCCAACTTCATGTTTAAGATAATAGATATTAATCCAACCTAGGTCACTCGTTAGTTGTTAGGTGGAGAACTAATTATAACTCATGCTCTCTTTAGGTGTTCACAATTTGCTCGAGCTCTAGATCATATATTTATTTATTGGAGAAGTTTATATGCTGCCGTATCTGAGACTATTTATTCAATATTAGCTGGAGAACTAATTATAACTAATGCTTTCTTTAGGCTTGTGTTAAAAAAAAAAAGAAAAAAAAAATGAGGTATAAATTGCTAACACTTGGTGGTTTCACAACACGAGATTTATTTCAGGTATTAGAAATCAGAGGGACTGAAATTTAAACACTCCTTCTAACGGCAGTCTCTAGTGCTGTACCTTTGTTAGCTTAATTTTATCGCAATTTAACACCATTTCGCACATATTTACTGCAATACCGTATGGCGCAGTTGCTCGTATTGCTTTGGTGAAACCTGAGAAGGCAAGGGGCGTTGAAGATGTTTTGCTGAGGGCTGCTCAAATGGGCCAGGTAGTTGAAAAGGTAGGCGGAATGTTTTCTTATTGCCATTCATTTTTTTAACTTTCGCCATTATATCAACATGGAAATCCCGTCAAAGAGTTGATTGATCATGGAGCCATGGCTGATGCATTCTTTGCAGGTTTCTGAAGAAAGGCTCATATCATTGTTGGAGCAGATCAACAACCAAACAGCCAAACAAACCAAAGTCACAGTAAGTCATTGCTTCCCATAAACTAAATTTGTTTGTTTAGCATTTTTCTTGAAATATTCATAACATTTCCGAGTTTTCTTATGCTGTTTCAAAATTTTCAGATTCAGAGGCGTCGGAGCGTTCTTGACGATGATGATTAAGCACTAGTTTGTATGTGTTACTACTTAATTACTAATGATCCAGTGCTTTGATTTTGTATCTAGAAGACAAAAGGTTCGTGTAGTTGGTTGTTAAACATTCGAGTGTATTGGTTTCTTGCTGTCTCTTACAGTGGTTGGCTGGGTGGTAAACAGAGTCGTTTTTCGGATTTGTTATATCCGGTATGAATTACATGTCAAACACCAGTAAAGCTGGGGTCTTACCCTTTAGTTTTTATGTTGGGAAATTTTCGAAAAGTTGCATCTATTACACTCCATTTTACTTTTTATACACACATTCTTAAACCACTCTTGTTCTACTTGCTACACCTATTTTAAAATTTTAAAAAAGTCCCTGCAATTATTTTTCTTTTTTGCACCCTCTACCAACAGACTTTTATCTTTTTTTTTTCTTTTTTTTTCTTTTTTCTTTTTACCTAACATTTGATCATTATTTTTGTAAAATATCCGTTTCTACAAAAATTGAAAAAAAAAAAAAGTGATTAAAGCATAAATTGAAAGAAGAATGCAAACATATACAATATTCTGTATTCTTCTTTAATACTAAATCAAATCGACATACGCATTCTATTTTTCTCTTCGATATCGAAATGCATATTTGGTGCACTCTATGAATTCAGCAAAAAGAACAAAGATATATAGAGAGAGAGAGAGAGAAGTAATGGGGGTATTCAATATGTATGAGTGTTAATGGGATAGAACAAATAGTTAATAGGGGAATCAATTTGTATGAGCGTGTGAAAAAAAAGTTCATTCTTTCGCTGGTTTAGATGGATTTTAGAGGGCTTTGTTTTGTTTTCTATTTCTATATATGTTGGCTTTTAGGTGATTTTGTTCAGGGGTCTGTGTAAAATACATTTCTTTTTTTTTTTTTTTTTTTTTTTTTGAAAGCGTGTAAAAATACATTTTGTTTTCATTGCGTAGATTTTGCTGTTTTTGTGTATCGTTGAAATATATCCAAACTTCCGTATGGAATAGAGAATTGTTTGCACAAAATGCTTTGCACGTTTTAATGGAAATAAATGAGAGCATTGTGAGAAACGGCATCGTATAGCTAAAGGGGCAAATTGTTGCTAAAATACTAGAACGACAACAGAACTGGAGGAGACTTTGAAAACGACACTGGCTTGGTAAACGGCAATATAACCATGACTTGTACAAGGACAATGACCTGAAAACGACAGTACTTAAGAAAACGACATTGTCGTATAATTTTCAAGTGGATTTGAAGAGCGACACGTCTCTTTTGATTTGAACGCAAAATGAAAATACTGCGTTGTAGTGTCGAAATTTGGTCATTCTACTTAAAAAATTATATATCAATACCACGCAAACACGCTGTGACGCTGATTCTTGTAAAAAACTTCAGACTTTAGGCTTCTTTTTTTCTTTTCTTTTTTTGCGTTGGAAACTTTAAGTCTCGTTCACTTTACAGATTTAAATTTTTAATTTAAGTTGAGATGTGATATTTTTTGAGAGCTTTTTACTGTAACAGAAAAAATTAAATGTGACATTTTCTGAAAATTTTTTACTGTAAAAATTTAAAACTGAAAATTCAAATCAGTAAAATAAACGATGTCTTAGTCTTTAATTCCTAATCGGCGTAGTATATATGTGATAGAAGAATGTAGCCATCAGAGGAATAAAAATTCAACAAGTGAAAAGTGGAAGGTGTCACATTGTTGCTTAAATACATAGAAGGCCAATTTAGACCATAATTATTGGCCTATACAATGTAGTAAAGCATAATAGGCTTTCGTGCCTGTACTTGACCAAAAATGATGATGAAATTCATCTCCTCTAATGGCGGGAGTGACAGCCTGGCTCCAATCATGCGATTTAGAGGGAGAATTTTTGCAAATGGCTTTTGTCTTTTTCATTTTCATTGATTGATAATGAG